CCTTAATTATTTTTGCTATCATTAATGTCTCGTTACGAAATCAGTTGGCTGACCTCGGGTCTAGTGGAGAGTTGAACTCTGTTTCTCCGTCACAGCAATCCACTTTTTTCTTTTTTAAATAAGCTAATTTGGACAAAGGTTTTTTGGTTGAAAAGGGAGAATCCACTTAAACTGACTCAAGGAGAAAGGGCAATGATGATAAAATATTTCCCAATAGAATCCACAGACAGGAAATTAAATACAGGCTTTACTCCTAAAGTACAAGGTTGAGCCGTAACTCAATTCTATTAAAGAACAAAATCTGCAATAATAAGGTCTCCATTAATTATAAAAAGATCTTGAACAGGAACTAATATGCTCTGGAGCTAACACCGTGTAAGAAAATACTGCGGCAAATGCAACACAAGAGCTTTATTCTGTAGCTGTGCCTTGGTTTATCCTAGCAACAGATGACAACTATATAACCTAAGGACACAGAAAGCATTTCACTTTGGTGATGGGAAAAGCAAAGAAAACATTTTAAGCTAAAGAGGAAGTCACCAAATGCTGGATTTGCTCCATGATGTTTAGATTTTACTCTTTAGCTACTGTCAAAGGACAAAATTATACCAATTTAGCTTAATGGTCTTAATTAGCTTTATTTTCTATTCTTGAGTCAGGCAACACTTCATTCCAGAAATAAGATAAAATGAGCATTCTGATGCACTGGGCAGAAGACATTGGTTTTATAGACAGAGAAAAGCTGAAGAGAGCATAAGTAAAAGAACTAAAACAGATTGGTCCTTTCAGAGTGACTTTCCTTCTAAAGTGAGAACAATAGCAAACTACGGAACTGGTTCTCATCGGCTTACTTTAGATTGCCTATTTCCTTGTAAGGATTAAGGCAAAGGGGACTTCATTGTCATGGAAATTGAAACAAGCTTCTGCTAGGCTTGGTGGCACAGGCCTGTAATCTCAACTATTTAGAAGGCTGAGGCAGGAAGAATGCAAGTTCCAGGATATCCTGGGAAACTTAGCGAGACTCTGTCTAAATAAATAAATAGGGCCTGGAGATGTATCTTAGTGGCAAAGCAACCCTGGGTTCAGTACCCAGTGCCAAAAGAGAAAAAGAAACTGTCCTATTGTAGAAGTTTGGCTGTTATCTCTCTAATCCTGATTTCTCAAAAAATCAGTTTAGTTCAGCTTGATAACCTGGAACTTTAGCAAGAGTGACCCCATTTTCATTTTTAGTTTGGTCTGTTTGGGCCAGTGCAGGAATTTAATCCAAAACAATGGTCTCCTATTTAATACTATAAAAAGCAACCTCACTGCAAAAAAAATAATCTTTTATAGAAATCTGAAATTCTCCACTTCACATTCCCTTCCCATCATTGAAGCACTGTACTTTTCCCAAATGCACAATTTGTGAGGAATGCAGAATTGAAGGAATTGGTGTAGTTAGACTGCAAGAGAAGTTGGACTGCAGAGGACCTCAGGCCATACTCTGTGTCTTCCCAGATGTATGGGTTCCCTTGCTGGGCTTTGGTCTCTGCTTTTCTCCGCCTCCTCTCTCCTACCTGGCTTCCTCTGTGTAAGTTCTCTGGACTGTCAGCATTCAGTGGGCATGTCTCCAGAGCCTACAATCACTAGGGTAACATTAGGGTTTAAGGCATTATGGGATCCTGTACTACAAATTCTTCATCTGACCAATTTAACTCAGTTTATAGCTTGATACTTTTAGTAGAGCTAAAATGCTTAACCTTAGTATTACCACAAGCCAAAAGACACATTCTTCAGCCTCCCTTGCATCTTGATATAACCCTGGGGCTAAACCCTATGCAATGATACATAAGCAAAAATGTTATGGGAATCTTCTGGACCCCGTCTTTGGGGTGGAGGAGTGTAATGATGTGATGGCTATAGCTCCTACAGCCATGTTGGACCATGAGTACAATGGCCACACCCTTGACATAACAGAGTATGAGCAGCCTGGGTCACTGATGACCATGGATGACCAATTCCATGTTTCCCAGGGAAAGGGTCCTGGGCAGAGCGAAGAGACCACTGGACGCATGGCTGTGTTCCACCACAAAGGTTGTGTCCATTGCTGGACCAACTGGTCTGTATGGAGGGGAAGAGCTAGGGTCCACGGAAAGTTTGAGGGTGGGCTGACACCGTACATGTGCCAGGGTGAAAATTAGAACTCCCAGGCAAAAGGCTCTAGGAGGTGGCTGCTGGCCAGGTTGGCAGGTCCCCCGAGCAGATGGAAGTCAAATGTTCTGCTAATAATTGAAGAAATATTAGTTACATTTCTAAGGGATCTGGTTAACTCATTCCCTTGGGCTACTTAGGGCTACGATTTGTAGGCAGTGAAGTCAGTTAGGATAATAAAGCCCCCAGGCCTGCTGGCAAACTGCTGAGATTTTTCAAGAAGAAAGGTACCATTTAAACATCTCAATTAGCTTTTCTCCAGTGAATGATGTTCTGAGGAGAAGAGGTTTCAAATGTGTCTCCATCCTTCACACCCTCAGGAGTAAAGATGAGAGGAATAAAAAAAAAAGACCTACTGCAAGGGCTCCTCCATGCATTTCAAATATTTGACAAGTTTGGAGTCCTGGAACAGGTTTTCAAGAACTACAATTCCCAGCAGGCACAGGTCCCACCATCCTTTCACTTGATCTTAGCTAAAAGGTGAAGAAGCGATCCCACCATCCTTCCCTTCCTTCTCTCTACAGCTCTTCCTTGAAGGAGAAAAACCAGCTCAAATACCTATTGATGTGAGAGCCTCTAGTCCATAAAGGGAAGAACATATGTCATTTTTAAAATATACTTTTCTTCGACACCACTACAGCCAATCAGATTATGGCCTTTCTGTTCAGCTTCTTTATTCCCAGGCAGTAAACCTCAGAACACGGCCTGTGTCTGCAGCGGAAGCACTGTGCCGCCAATGCTGCTTGCTCCGCAGGGTCCCGTGTACAGCAGGCCTGCATGAAATCAGAGTCCACACGCTGGACAGCAGGAATGAAGAAGGAAATCAGCTATCCTGGTTCAGAAAAGAACACAAGTGTTCTGAAGCTGAACACAAGAAAGCAATGAGAAAGCAGTCCATTCCCAAGCAGTCACATGGATCCCAAGGAAGACTTCAACTTCTGTGAACATGGAATCTTTATGGAAATTAAGGAAGACCACTTGTGGTGGTTAACTTCTTGTGTCAACTTGCCTGTGCTAGGGCTGCCTAGATAGCAGCTAACACGCCCTCCCTGGGTGTGTCTGTGGAGATACCTTGGAAGGGATAAGGTTCTGAGTAGGTGGGCTGAGTAGAGAAGGTGGGCCCCAGCCTGTCTGTGAGGGCTGGAAGGGAGCAAAAATGTGGAGATAGATTTGCTCTATGTTTGAGCTGGGCCAGCTACCTTCTCCTGCCCTCAGAGATGGGCACTCAGGCCTTCACACTTCACACTTACTGCCTGGGCTGGCCTGGCTCTTGGGCTTCAGGCGGGAACCATGCCTCCAGCTCCCTGGTCTCATCTTGCAGAGAGCAGATGGTGGCACTTCCCAGCCTCCGTAATCGTGTGAGCCAAGCCTTCGCAGTAGGCCTCGCTCAGTACATCTACATATGTACTGTCAGTTTTGTTTCTCTGGAGAACCCTAACTAACTCACCAGGCAGATGAGAAAAGCAAAGCCCATTTCTTTAGAGCCTGCTGGGGCAGGGAAGTCGGCCACAATGACTTGTGTTCGGTAGTGACTCAAAGGCAGGAGCAGCTTAAAGCAGAAAGAGGAAAGGCTTGGGAGACGCCCGATTGGAAACCTTTGGCATGGGCAGCCAATAGGAGGGTTAACTAGAAGGACGGCATCCTGGTTGGCAGTGCATACTTTACATTCTGTGGTTAGTGCTGATGGAAGGGGGCACAGCATTTAGGGATGCTATGGGTTATTGTTTATGCCCTGGCTATTTTGCATCAATTGTTCAGCTTTCTGGATTGTTGCTAGCTAGGGTTAGGGTTAGATAGCAATCCAGCTTCCTGCATGTCTGGAGGAAGGCTGGCTTCCTGACTGTTTATTATAGCTGGGGAGCTGGTTTCCAGGGCAGATGCTGCAGGTTGTGGGCCAGGGCTGCATCTTTATATGTGGTCTGGCCATTATTCATAAGCACATACAGTCTCTCATTTTCAGACAGATGGACAGTCATCTCTGGGCAGCTGACTGGTAGCCAGTAAGCTAATTCCCAGGGTTTGTGGAGACCGCTTTGGGGACAACTAAGTCCTCTAGGCCACCTCAACCAGAGAGCCTAAAGAAATACCTGCTTGAGTGAGCACACCCTCAGCTCTGCACCAAGGAGGCAAGGAAGGGCATGATGCACAGTGGTTAGGGCAGCAGTGGAGCTCTAGAAATGTAGAGAAACCGCTCTGCGATCATCAGGCCAGCTGTCAGAGTCTTTGGTCAGCTTGGAGCAAATCTTGAGCTGCCGCTTCCCCTTCCTCCAAAGTTTCTGACTTAGCAAAGCCGGGCTGGAGGTCAGGCGCTCCTGAAACTTCCTAGGTAATTCCGAGATGTTGCCCAGACTGGCAGCTAATGACCAAAACACGGGAGCAGATGTTCAGCAATTGGGGAGAGTGAAACTGGGGCGGCGGCCATGACGTCCTCGATCTTTTGGTCTGGCGATGCTGCACGGCAGGAGCCTGAAGTGCAGGGTGGAGCTGAAGCGAGGCAGCAGATGGGCACAAGCCGCAACCGCACCAGCCTGCACCCCGCGAGGCCGCAGCCTCCAAACCACGTGTGAGAACAGGTACGTGCGCTTCAGCCTGCTGTGCTTTCTGAGACGGAGCCTAGTCTGAGCAGCAGCCCTCGTTTTTATTTCTAGCATTAAAACATTGATCTCCTTTAAAATACATACTGTCTCTCGTATATGTGTGATGAGTTCACGTGTTTTCAATCTATGTTGACACGTTGCTCACACTTGAAACAGAACAATTAAATTTTGACCGTATAAACTCTAAAACCTCAAAAAACATCACTCACACTCTCCACGCTTAGTATCTATTGTTTATTTCTAGTCTAAATTTTCAAATGTACCAGTTTAATCTGAGTTGATACAATACCACCCCCTGGTGGACAGCTGCAGGAAGGAGCCCGTGCTTGATTTAACTTGAGAATTTTAATAGGTCATCTGATATCCTGGCGCCTCCGCACCCCCAGCGGAATATTCTCTTCGAAAAAAATCGCAAGCAAAGCTCAAAAAACAAAATAATAAAAACAGAGCTGTGCCGGGAGCTTTGTCTCTCTTACATTTTTACTATCGGTTTTTATACCCTCCCCAGGATATCCAAAATAGAATTTATTACCGCCAAACATGTCATCTCCCCCAAATTAAAATTAAGTTCATTTCTTCTAAAACTTTCTTACCTAGGTAGATAGCATCTCCTTTATCATCCACCTAGCCAAAAACCCTTCTGCGAATTCACAATACACAAACATTGTAAAGGAAACCTGAGCTGAGAAGCCGGGTTCAATGTATTTGACCCTGCAATTCCCAGACACGTTTTCTCATGAGCCACACTGCCCTCCTGCCTAATACTGTTCAACAACGTGCAGAATGCTTCTGGTTATACATCATTCAGAATGATTGTTCCATCTCAATCAGCAAATTAGCTCTTTGGCTGCTTATACTATTCAATCTTCCAAAGTGCTTAGATAAAGTCAACCATACCATGAGTCAGCTCTCAGTGGCTTGTAGTAATGAAGTACACAGCCCTGAGAGGATGGACCCCGGGCAGCTACTGAATTGGTGCCACATCACCTCTGTCTTCTACCATCATTACTGGCGGCAGGGAGGAAGCTGCTCCACTAATAATAGCAGTAATCTTGCTTTGTCTTCTAGTAAGTGCACTAAGTCTGCATTACATGAGCACCACTGATTTTTTTCAGAGGGACTATGATGCTTATCTGGCTATAACCTAAGAGGATCATCACAGCTCTGCAACTGACAGTGATTTCAGTGTTTGCCATATGCTATCTCCTCTCATGAATTTACGAGCCAAGAAGTATCAAAGCCTTATAGCTTTCAGCGTTCATGTAAATCAGCGTAGACCCTCAGACACCAGACCCAAAACAAATCTTACTTTATATCACCAGCATTTTAAACAGAAATACAGCTTCATGCCCTATGCTGGTAATGCTAGACTTCCCAAGCCTGCTGATACATGCTGCATCATTTCCCATTTCAAAAATAGAGAATATCTAATTAAATTTTCATGCAATAGAAAAATTATTTGAACCTGTTCTGCAGCTTAAAGTGTGCTTTGATCAATCGTGTCTGGGGCTGGTAGCTGTCCTTTCATGTCCTCTATAGCTTTGATGTCAGAGCTGGGGTCCTGAGGGCTTGGACGCACTCACTTACCAGCCTGGCAGCCTCCAGGGCACAGCCCCAGTGCACTGAGATCCCCCCGCTCCCGTGGCCGTAGTGGTGGACCACACACAACCTCTGTCCATCTCTGGCCAGGACCTCTTTCTGCAGCAGCACGCTTGGTCTGCCAGGCCGCAAGCCCACCCTCTCCTTCACGCTGTGGGCCCTGTGCAGGGAGGGCTCCAGAGCGCAACATCTGGAAAAAATATCACGGCTAATTTCTGCATCTGGGGACAGATTCCAGTCTCCTGTCTGCCTAGTTCCACCCAGGGTGACATGGGACGCACCAGGGTAGATATACACCAGCCCACTCCCATCCCGGATAAAATGCTTCACCCAGGGGGCCTGCACTTGGAGTATTTGGCCCCTCACGGGGAAAACCGTGGAGTCTCCCACAAGCTCTCGGCTTCCCAGGCCTGAACAGTTGACCACGATGTCGAAGGAGGGCTGGAGCTCCCACAGGTCTTCCACTCGCCTGCATAGGAGCAGGCCTCCGTGGGTCTTCAGCCTGGGGAGGAGAGACCACAGGAGGAGACTTAGTAGCCACCAGCCCAGCCTCTCCCAGGAAGTGAAGGACAGGAACAAACGTGAGGGGACCATCTGATGAACAAACACACCAAGAGCTTCCAGGGCCTGGGCAGAAAAAATTCCAGCTAACAACTGCCTCACGACCTCGGAAACCAGGATTCTGAAAGTTGAGCCCAAATGGAACTTACAGTATTTTGAAAATCCAAAACAAAGGACATTGCATGCCACCCCTTTTTTTCTTTCAACATTTTGTAGAGTTCCTATGTCATTCTAGATGGGAAATAAACATGAAGATGATCCGGTACTTTAAATGCCTGAGCATTTCTTTGTCCTGCCATTCACATAACACCTCCATTTACTGGCATGCTCGCAGGTTCTTTTGTATCGGTCTGTTCTCCTTAGTTAGATGGTGGCACAGGTGTCCCCCCCGTCCCCCTTTACGGGACCATTAGCACAAGAGGGACATAAAAGACTTGCAGCTGATGGGCTCAATGATGGCTGTGGTTAGGAATTATTTTGGACCAAGTATCTCAATAATGAATGAAAGAAGGGTTTAGATCTTAGAATCATTTTTTAGTGATTTTACCATTATGGTAAAATACATGTGACATAAAACTTACCATTTTGACATTTTTAGTGTACAGTTCAGTGACCCTGAGCACATCCACACTGCTGTGCAACCACCACCACCACCCGCCTCCAGAATATGTTTCAACATGCAGAGTGGGAACTCAGTAGCTGTGAAACAGTAACCACCAGCAACCTCCTCATCTCCACCTTCTAATCTTATAATTGTACTCATAAGTCACTTGGTATATATATATATATATATATATATATATATATATATATATCAGCAGTTCTGTTCAACAGATGCAGGTGGAAAATCTAGACACAAGGCACTACTAAGAGGGACAAGAATCTGTGAGACATCATGCCATTCCACAAGTGTGACAAAGGAATTGGGGGACAATGTGAGTGGCTGGCAAGGTGAAGTACATTCCAAACGTGTGCATGCTCTGCCCCTGAGAACAGTATGGTCAGGGCAGCAGTTCTGAGCACCACCTCCCTTTGAAACCAGATAAACAGAGGTTTCATGAGAGGGAAAAATAAGAAAGGACAGAAACTTCAGGAGCATAACCAAGACATGGCTGAAGGTGGTAAATGATGGCCTGGTTTGATCTCTGATTTTAAATTACAGCAAAAGAGACTCTGAAGTTCTTCCAATGCTGTATCTCCACCTCCTAGTCAGAAAGCACAAGTGAAATTTGTACTAAGATCTGTAGGAAACTGACTTCTAATACTGGCTCCTATCGGGTTAATAATATCCCTTAGTTATTGTGGGCTAATCAGGTCTCCAATCTCCCAAATGAGTGTACAGCAAAGGTTAAATAAAAAGAGGTGAATGGAATGATTTCAGAGCTCAAGGAGGATCAGAGCCCTCTCACAGAATTTGAGATTCTCTCAGGGCTAAAACCAAAACCTTCTCTGGGCGGCCCCTATTTATATGGTTATCAGAAGAAGGGAAGAAATACTCAAGAAGGGCAGAATCTCTCAAGGACTTCTCCAAGTAAGGTATTAAGTTAATCCACCCAGGAGTGAGATGACTGAGGCTATAGTCTTCATCTAGTTGGGATTGGACCCAGGTGTCCTTGGCTGTGATCTTGTCTTATCCTCTGAGGCTTTCTGGCTTCATTGGCCACTACAGGTTTTAGTAGGGATTAGTGACTCACAGAGGTTCACTTCTTATGAGTCCACCATTTCCAGACAAGGAGCTTAGGCCTTGGACAGATTCACAAGTGAACACAGAAAGCCAATTGATTAATTTAAGTCCTGCTCAGGGCTGCTTCGTGGTGGTCTCCATCAGGCTCCCTTTCTAGAAAATTCCACAGGTCAAGGAGAATAGAAAAGAACAACATTGCTGTTTGACTGCATCACAAAATAGACTTGAACTCCAACAGATCAACTTCTGATCTGTAAAACAGATTCATTTATTTATTTGTTTGTTTATTTTTGGTACAGGCAATTGAATCCAGGGCCCTTGCACTGAGCTACATACTCAACCCATCTTAATTGTTTTTTTCTTCTGAAACAGGATCTTGTTAAATTGCCCCATCTGGGTTTGAACTTGAGATCCTCCTGCTTCAGCATCCCAGTGTGCTGGGATCATAGGCATGTGCCTCCGTGCCTAGCTAAATTAGCAAATTTATCATGGAGTTCTAATTTCTCTGCAGCAGCTTTTAGGTGATCTCCATCTTTCTGCACACTTCCTTCCTCTGCAGACTCTGAGGCATTTCTAGTGTGAGTGATGTGAAGATCAGTTTGAAACCTCTGGGTTAAGTTTCTGTATTCATTCAACAAATATTCACAGAGGCTTTTCTTGGAAACATCCTGGGCTAGGCAAGGAGAACTCACAGGCTACCTCTTGCTCCATGGTGATCTGAGCCTGCTGTATACTTAGGCAGAACCAATGGCTATTTCAAGTACCAATGTCTCAAATAATAGAACTGAAGTTCTAGGCATGGGGCTTTTACCCTACACATCCTTGCCTGTTATTCTGAAAATCTATGGAAGACAGTGTGAATTTACCAGAGATGAGAAAACCAAAGCAAAAAACCTGCAAACATCAACACTTTAGGAACACAGAGAACAAAGGAAGCCTTTGATGTAACTAATAGTGGTTAAAAGAGAGAGTAGGCCGGGGCTCCTTGCCTGCTTACTTTTTTCTCTCTTTCTCAATCTCTCTTTCTCTCTCTCTCTCTCAACAGCTCAGAGATAAAAGCAGAATAGCAAATTTTATGAGCACAAGTTTTTAGCTCTCTCAGTAGAACAGTTGACAGTTTAGATTATGCTTTTTTTCGATGTATAATAATAGACAAGTCCTTTTAAAGATAAAATAACTCTGCAAGTTGTTTCATTTTGATTTTCTTAATATTAGCATAGAAAGAAGAGTAAATTAGAAGCTGGGTGTGGTGGCACACATCTGTAATCCCAGCATGCTAGAGACGAAGGCAAAAGGATAGTGAGTTCCTAGACAGCCTGGGTTACATAGTAACCCACAGAGACTCCCTCTCAAAACAACCAAAAGAAGGAAAAGAAGAACAAGAGGAGGAGGAGGAAAAAGAAGAGTACACTGTTATTTTGGTGTGCCACAGACCAACACATTGCAGTGTGATTCTAACCTTTAATGAAATAAACATCAAAAAAAGACTTTCAGGTAGGGTTTAGGGAACCTACATATGACCTTGCCAAAAGGTCTTTACTCTACAAATGACCTTGCTAAATTCTCCAACTTCTCCAAGCTTTAATCCTTCACCTCTAATGTAGGAAGATTAATACTGGTGTAACAGAAAAGGCCCTGCCTCCAGCCCTGCCCCCAGTTTCTTAGCTGCCCAGGCCCTGCCCAGTTCCTGTTCCAATTCCAGTTACTTCTATTTCTTTGAAACTGCTGATCACTATGATGCATATTATATGAAGCAATCCCCAATTGACAAGCCATTCTGCCTCTGAGATCAGGGCCTGATATTTTGGAAGTGATCCTGATCAGTGCCTGCCAATATAAATAAATCTGCCTCCAAATACTGGGTGTCATTTCAGTGTTTCTGCTTGCCGTAGCATCTGGTGTGTCAGCCGGGAAGACAGGTCATGGCTTTCTCCAGGTCCCAATGGGAAGGCACACTCTCCAGATTTCTCAAGACCTTCAGAGATCTGGAGGAAGACTCCTGGCTCCCCACCTGAGCAGCTCACATTGGACCCCAAAGGGAGGAGGACACAATCTGTCTGTCTGTCTGCCTGTCTACCTGATTCTGGTAAAACCCCCAGGGCACCCCAGTAGTCAGTCTGTCAGTCCTGCTCATTTGGAGCAGAAGAGCTGGAGCGACTCTTCACCCTCAAGGGAAGGGCAGTTGGAGTGTTTAACCTCTGAGCGCCTGTGGAATGGTCGTGTGAGTGAGTGAAACGGACAGTGTAAACAACAGGCTGCTCCGTCTGTGCACCAAGACGGGAAAGCACTGGTACAGGGGGCTGATTGGGCCCTCACCTGTGCTTCCATGGTGACTGACATCCTCACATCCTCCTTAGTAAAGTCCTGCCTAAGCCCCCTCAAGGGAAGGTGGGCATCTGAATGGTCTCTCTCTGAGGGGCACCCAACCTTTGTCTGTTGTGCCACTGCTCAAGGGTATACAACATACACCGTAGGGAGATAGAATGGGAAATAATTAATTAAAACCCACAGTCCCTGACTGCAGGTAAAGGGGCTTTTATGGAGTTAAAAATAAAACCAAACTGAATCTCAAAGAAGGAAAGAAAAGGAAAAAGAGGCCCATTCTTCCTGAGAATTCTGCCTTGACACCCTCATCAGCCACTGCAGCTGCTGCCAACACCTATAGCTTCACTCCCCACCCCCCACTCATCTACTTCCAGCCAATTGAACTGGCTCCAGCTAGCCATTGCCTGCATTTGGCCACAAAGGCCCTCCCTCTAGAGTTACACACCTATCCTGGTGAGATGACATCATCTAATTCCCACCTGAGATGATGCAACAATTCCCTCTGAGCCCCATATTTTGACTGTGGAAAAATTGGACTCTCAGCCTTGACAAAGGAGTAGAACCCTATTGGGCCTGAATAGATAGGACAGACCTCTGAGTTCTATCAAATTGGGCCCCAGAGAGCCACAGTCATTGCAAAAATGAGGGACAAACCTGAGACTTTCCTGGCAGACAATGGAACAGAACTTTCTGCCTTCAAACCTTCCCTCTGTCAAAAAGTTACCATCACCAGGGCAACTGGGACTCCTGCCTCTCACCCCTTCTGGCAGACACAAACTTACAGCCTTAGAGGACATCTCTCCACCAAGCCAGTCAGCCTCCCACTTTGTTTAACCCTGCACTCTCAATTTTGACTGTTCTCCAAGAGGAAGATGATGCCTGTATCAGCTTAAGAGAGATAACCACAATCCTGAAGTTCTGAAGACACTATT